GGGGAAGGGGGGACGGGGCACGTCCACGCCAAGTCAATCTTGACTGTGCTTATGACACGACCCACGTCTATTTTCCACCGCTTTAAACTTGAACTAGGTCAATGTTCCCTCGCCGAAGCCGGTTTGGAGGACATTCGCGCATAATAATCGTGGTATCACTGTTGGGCTTCTGGTGTAGAGCGAGGAGTATGAGGACAACGTCAACATCACCCAAGAGCAAGAGGTCAGAGAGAGAGAGAGAGAGAGAGAGAGAGAGAGAGAGAGAGAGAGAGAGGGGGGGGGGGACGCCCCGGTCGAGAGAAAGTGGGGTACACAAAGCCAGCCCTGAATCTGGATTTGTGATAAATTAACCCTAATTTCTGCTAGGACTCGTGTTTTGTGATTCCTATTTTGCATGATTTTTCTGTGATAAAAAGTTTTCATGGCCAGAAAAAACTGTATATCGAAGGAATCGCAAATCTGAGTAATCTCAAAATTTGTCATTGTGGTGGTAGTGGTGGTATGGATTAATATTTTCAATTTATAAATAACTCATAAAGGCGTACGCTTGTGAGTATGTGTCTGGGGAGACACCATACACTATCGAGAAGACGAAGGGGCCTGCTGGTGTGGTAAGAGTTAGTGACTTAGTAAGCCATCTCTCACATTAATTTCAGCCTTGGTTGCGTTTCGACGGGGCCGAGATAACGAACAACAGGAAGTAGAAGTGTAACCCGATAACAATCACTGTATAGAATGCTCCTTTGGTCTCCAGACGCCACTTTGATGCGCCAAGAAGCCATAATAAAATAGTATCTAAATTAGTCAAGTCGTGCAAAATATAATCGCTTGAATGGAGTGATGAAAATAGACGTCGCTCTAATTGGGCAACATTCCGTCACTCTTCTTTGGCGACACACCCAAGAAGAAGAAGTCGGGATACAGGGTGGTCCACAGACCCCTTCCTTTATCTTGCTTGTGGTGTACCGCATGCAGGCGTGCGGGCGTGCTTGCCTCACCGCGGCGCCTCATATGGCCCCATTCAACCTATAGGCACGCCTACATCCGTGACAGTCTAAGCAAAATAAGGGAAGGGGTCTGTGGACCACCCTGTACATGCGATATCGAACCGATAGCAACATATGATACCAGTTGTCGTAAACGCGTGTTTGGTTCCGATACCATTTCAGAATCCTCTTGGCAATTATTTGCCGATGCACCGACATCTGTCCTGACATCGCTTTTCGGTATGGACGCGTCTCATTTGGGTGGGCCACTCTATGGCGCCACCCGGTGCGTGTGCGAAGCGAAGGTTTCGCGGGAATTGTTAGGCTTCCGGGGAGACTTGCTCCGACCTTGGCCTTGATTCGCAGACTCCTTATCGCGACACTGCAGGGGAAAGGGAGCGCGGGGGAGGGGGTGGGGGGTACGTGTATAGGGTCCCTCAGCTTCATCTTGTTGTTGTTGTTGGTCGGCCGGCCGCCCGCGCCGTCCCTCTCCGGCTTGCCCTAATTCGTAGAGAACGTTTCACTTTCAGCTTCTTGTTGTTATTATTGCCTTCCCCCGGGCAACTCTGCTTTACGAATAACACAAAACGCGGGTGTAGTTAAGGTCGGTTGTCAGTAGAAGGAGGTGGGCGAAGTGCTGCCGATATAAGTGTTCTTGTAGCTCAGATTAGCCCCCCCCCTTTCCCCTCACAGCGCAGCCAGTGATTTTCTATTTTTTTCAGGTGAGTTGACCTTTTTTTTTGGCTGACCAAATCTTTGTACTTTGTACTTGTGATAAAATTTCATCGTTTGGGCTTACAGACACATCAGCCAAATGGAACATATTCTTGTGGCTCTGCAGAGCAGTAATGTGTGAGCGTGTGTTAAGGTGGTGTGTGTTGTTTAAAATGGGGGGAAGGGGGGGAGGAGGGGTCGTTCCACTTGTTTAAAAAGTCATAAAGTTCATTCACGCAGCACAGGTGACATATCCTCCAAACGTGTGAGCGCTTTGCTTTCCCTTTAGTGAGCGGCACGTGTTCATGCGTCACCGCGTGTGAGCTCATTTTCCCGGCGCTCGGAGCAGCGCCACGGGCCGGGCGCCGGGCAGCGCCGCCGGGGTCCCCGGGGTCCGCTGGGTCCGCGTCTGCGCCGGGTCTGCCCGCGCCCCGGGCGTGCACGTGAAAGACGACTGTCGGCCGGGCATCTTGGCGGGGCGGGGCGGGGCGGGAGGGGGTAGGGGGGCAGGGCGGGGCGCCCGGCGTTTTTCTCACGCCGTCCGACTGCTTATAGGCTCTGTCCGTCGTAGTGGCGGCCAGTCACCGACGCAAGGCGCTACTGTTCAGGCAGGCAGGCGTGTTAGCTAACAGGCTCCGTGCGCTCGGTCTGTGCATGTGTGCGTGTGCGTGCGCGCTAGTGTCATGGCGGCGAGCGATACCAACGGCAGGGGCGGCAGCGTGGCGCTCGGACAGGTGAGCTAGCGCGGCTAACTTAGCCAGCGGGACAGAGTCAGAGTGTGAATGTCGCACACTGCTTGCAGCTGTGTGGACATAATCTATACACTTGGAGGCACAAGTGTGTGCGTATTTATTTATTTGTAAACTTCACGCTTTTCCTCCCTCAAGTGTACGAATAGGCATTCGCACATCTACAAGTGTGCAACATTGACAAACCTGTGTTTCCAGTGAGCAGTGCAGCCGCAGCCATAGCTGCCCAGTAGTATCTCTAAATCTCAAATCTCTTAACCGTGTAGGTGGTACCATGCCACTTAGCTCTTTTCATCAAGATATTTTTTTAAGCTTGGCTGTCAAATTGGCCAGCTAAAGTATTAGAACAGGACTGCTCGTTTTCTTGCGTTTGTGCTCTTTTACAGATTTGGCTAAAATTGAAATAATTATTTTTTGAGATTTATTTATACACTTTAAACCGCGAAGCCGTCAGTAGTCCAAGTATGCACAAAAGTAATACTCACAACATTGCCACTAAGAAAGTTCGTAAGTGAAACAATTTTGTTTTCTAGGTTACTATTTCGGATGCTTTTTTTCTATGTTAAAGTGGAAAACTATTAGTGCTACTTTGAGAATTTTCAGTAGGCCTATCTCTTATCAATGTTCTGGGTATTACTTTACTGACTAACTGAGCTGTGTATACGACTTCGTGACAGTTTTGCCTCGCGTCTTTCAGTGTAGTTGGAAAGCTACACGCCTGAGAGAGAGAGTGGGGGGGGGCTCGCCGGGAGCGAGGAGCGAGAGAGCAATAGAGTGAGAGAGCGCCGAGGGATCGAGGAAGCGAGAGAGCAGCAGAGCGCCCTTGTGCTCCTGTGTGGCCCCCTGGCGAGGCGGGCCGTGCCGCTCTGCACAGGTGCGCACCGGGCTTGCCTACCCAGCCCATCACAGGCGTCTGGAGAACCACCGGCCACCTCGCTCCACCTCCACCTCGACAAACCTGTCATGTCCTCCCCCCTCCCCTTTTCCTCTACGCCGTTACGCGAGCCTGCGGGTCTTCTAACCTGCCTCCTTTTGATCCCCTCTCCGACTTGTGATACCCCTCCTGTGATCCCCGGATATCCCGTCGGTGGGAGCAGGCACTCCCATCGTGGTGGGTCGCATATGGGAGGCAAGCAGTCTCGGTTCAGGCATTTCCGTTGCTATTTTCATCGAGTTATAATGCCTTGGTCGTGGCTCCTTAGGCTCACCGTATGAAAAACGAAAGTCCCCTCTCCCTCCACCTCCTACGACTTAAAATAGATTGCGTTATCAAGCACAACAGATCTGGAGACAGAAGAAAGACCTGCTTGTCCATGATAAAATCTTCCACAATAATCTTCCACGAACCACGAACGGGAGAAAGAAACGTCGCTGTGGAAATTTGGAGAATGTGACTACATTCACCAGAGACAATTTCACCTGCTGCTAGTTTAAAATCGCGAGGATCATATCATATAGTAGTTTTGAAGACGGGTGACGTGGATGTAAACTGCAGTTACATGAAACAAAACGAAAATTAAATGAAACGGTCATATAGAAACAATAATGTTGTCCAGCTAGTTCAGTTTCTGATCTTTATCAGGCCAAGAGCATCACCTTTGTGTTTACTCTGGACCCGATGTTTTCCTCCTGCCTCCCCCCTCCCC